TAAGATGCACCTGACCCAAGTTATGGTACTTTCAATCCCCTCATATGCATGTGAGAGCCAGAAAACAAGTAAGAAAGACTGTAGAAGAACTGATGCATTTGGACTGTGGTTTTGGTGAAGAACACTGAATATACTATGGACTGCTAGAACAACACACAAATCTGTCTTGGAGAAAGTACAGCCTGAATGCTCCCAGAAGCAAGAATGGCCAGACTTCATCTCTTATACTTTGGTCATGTTGTCAGAAGGGACCAGCCCCTGGGGAAAGAATCACGCTTGGTAAAGTGGTGGGTCAGCATAAAAGGAAAAGACCCTCAACAAAATGGACTGACACAATGGCTGCAACAATGGACTGAAGCATAGCAACAGCTGTGAGGATGGCAGAGGACCCAGTAGTGTTTTGTTCTGTGGTACACAGGGTCACTATGAGTTGGAACCAACTCGATGGCACTTAACAACAACAACATGAAATTGATTCTGACATACAACTACCCCATGCACACCAGAGCAGAACTCTGCTCCACAGAGTTCTCTATGGCTGATGATTTAGAAATAGATCTCCAGGTCTTTCTTCTGAGGTGGGTCTGGGTAGACTTGAACTTTCTGCCTTTCAGTTAGCATCGAAGCACTTAACTGTCTGTGCTGCCTAGGGACACCATGGCTAAAACACAGAAGTATAAAAAGAAGAAAGGAAGTAGGTTGAAAGGAAGACAGAATTTAGATCATGAAGGGCCCTACAGGCTACTATGCTGGCTAAGGTGTTTGCAATTAAATTGTAAGGCAACTGGAGAGTTGTTAAAAAAGTTAAAGCAACCAAGTTAAAAAAAAAAAAAAAAAAGTTCACTGCCGTCAAGTAGATTGGACTCATAGTGACCCCTCCTTGAGTTTCCAAGGTGGTAGCTCTATGAAGTAGATTGCCTAATCTTCCTTCCAAGGAGTGGCTGGTGAGTTTGAACTGCCAGCCTTCTGGTCAGCAGTCAAATGCCTTAGGCACTATGCCACCAGAGCTCCGAACCAAGTAAATTAGATCTGATTTACAGTCCTTCACCTAGCAGCAGTGTAAAGCTAGGACTGTAGAGGGCTGAGGTCAAAGGCAGAAGAACAGTCCAGGTTTTTTTTTTAGTAATCCAAGTGAAAAATTAAGAATTAAAAATAAGGTGGCATTGGCAATGAGATGCAATGGATAGCTCTCTTAAAAAAAAAAAAAATGCCCTAATGGAGCTCTGGCAGCATAGGGCAGAGGAATCTGGGTGGGGAGAAAATGCAGGAAGTTCATTAGCATTGGTTAGTACTGTTTGGGACATACTGAGTTAGAGGAACAACAGGACTTCATCATAAAGATGTCCAACAGGCAGATGGATGTACAGACTTAGAACGTTGCAGAGAAAAAAAAACTAGCTAGACATAAAGCTAGCATGGAAGCCATGAAGAATTATGTGGAGACCAAAAAGATAAGAGGAAGTAAAGAACTTGAAACATATTAACAGGAAAGAAAGGATGGAAAAGTTTTTATGGTATCTGAGAAGTGGCTTACGGAAAGAGACAACTTCTCAGGGTCAATGTGTCAAAACCATTTCACCAAACAGCCAATTCTCTGAAAATCAATTCACCAAACAATCAATTTATTCAAGTAACCAAATTTACCAATTTATAAAATCTTATGTCTTTTAATTACCTACAAAGCAATTGTTCAGTAGATTAACTGATCTTCAGCAAACTGGCCTGTTTAAAGAGTTTTAAGATGCATGATGCAGTAGTGAATGGTGTGAAGTGCTACCAGGGGAGATCAGGAAGTAAAGGAGTAAATCGAGTGAGTTACTATGTACACTCAACAGACTGGTGCTGGTGGAAGGGGGCTGAGAAATGAATGAAAGATGGTACAGAAGCTTTCACTATGTAGAGGAATAGAGAGGATAAAGACTATTTTTCCTTTGTTGTTTTAACCTGAAAGATTCAAAGAGAAAACAAAAAGGGCCAGAGTAACTGATGCCCTGATGTTCCAGAAGAAAGAGAATGAGATCTAGAGCAAAGTTGATGGATACAGTCGACTTCTCTAATCCATTCCTGGAGCAATTCCTCTCTTAGGTCAGTTTTTCTTTCACCATGCATGTGCCATCCACTTAAAGGCTCTAATACAATTCCATGTGAATCTTGTTATGATTACTGGCCATGGACATTTTCTAAATGATGTTGATCTCTCTACCTTGAATTCATCTTATAACTTGTTTTCCACAACACTATCATTAAGTGTCTGCAAAAAACTGCTTTTGTGGAAGGTGAGGAGAGGGAACATTGCCCCCAAAAAAAGCACTGACAAAAAAAAAAAACTTTTGGACTTTCATTTTTCATTATCCCAATACCAGTTTCTTTCCCTTGTAGTATCCTACCTGTTCCAATATCTTCCCACTTCACTGGGCCAAGGGAAACAAATTTTTTTTTCTGTACCCAGTTACGGAATAAAGAAGTCAGCTTTACCTAAAGTAAAGTGATCTCTGTCCCTGGTTCCCGAGAAATAACCCTTAGAGTAAATGCCTTGTCTGGGACTTCCAGGCCACACCTGAGGAGCTGTGCTGGCAAATTAGGGCAGCCCAGATCAGAAAAGACTCACCTGGGAGGCCAACATCAACTAGACACAGGAGACATGATTTAGTTTATCACACAAAACTGGACAATGAAAGCTGGGAACCCTAAGGTTCTAAGAGCTTCCTACTTAGCAAAGGGAAAGTGAGTTCCCTCTTTCAGACATGGAAAGTTTCCACTGCGGATCCTCTCAGACCTCACCTGTGTGTCTCTTCTTTAAGATGACCCTGATTTGTATCTATAATCATAGTACTTTCTGTGAATTCTATAATTGGTTCCAGTGAATTATCAACTCAAATGAGAAGGGGCATCTAGTAGGTGAAAGTGAGGGTGTCATGGAATTTCCGAGGCAGTTTCACTACAGAAGTAGATTGCCCAACCTTCCTCCCAAGGAGTGGCTCGTGTGTTTGAACCGCCAGCCTTCTGGTTAGCAGTCAAGTGCCTTAGGCACGATGCTACCAGAGCTCCTGCTGAAAGCATAATGGACTTTTAACCTATGAGATTTGCCCTAGCCACATGGGTGGCTGGTGTCAGAAATGCTTGAGGGGAGGGAAGGTAGAGATCAGATCAATCTAGATATGTAGGGGAATGGATTCAGGTTCATTTTTAGCTACAAAGTTAACCACAAACCAATACTTTCAAAGTTTACTTCACAAGTATTTCATGCCCACAATGATCTGTTCTTACTCTTGGGAACATATCTGTTTTTAATCAATGTGCCAAATTCTTTCGTATCGAGCCAGCAGTCTGCTTAATTGAAGATCACCAATATTATATCAGCATCATATCTTGCCAAAATGGTTACCTAACCATTATTGAAGGGTTTCCAGTTCTCATAATCGAACTTAATTTCTTAAACATGTTTGGTTATTTCTTGTCAACTTAGGATCTTCTGTAAATCAGAGTTTAGCAACTTGTCAAAAGAGTCAGAGAAAGGGTATGTAGGAAGGAGTCCAGGAATGTAACATCCAGATCACTGCAACAACACACTGTTCAACAAGAATCCAACTAAGATTTGTGTTCATTGTATTGTGTTCGTTTAGCTCCTCTTTTATAACCAAAGGCTAGGGAACAATGAGATAAGCCTGGAGCTGAAAAGGCAGAAAAACTCCTGGGAGAAATTCAACCTTGCACCAGGGATAAATCACAAGAATCCTGGGGTCTGTAAGAATACTCTGCTCATTGTAAGCTTAGCAAAAAAAAAAAAAAAACCTCAGGTGGCCAGCTAATACATAAAGAGATGCTCACGATCATTGGCCATCAGAGAGATGCAAATCAAAACAACGAGATACAGTCTTACACCAGCACTGACGGCAAGGTTCAATGAGACAGAAAATAACAAATGCTGGCGGGGATGTGGAGAGATTGGGACTCTCAGACAGTGCTGGTGGGACTGTGAAGTGATACTGCCACTGTGGAAAGCAGTCTGGCGATTTCTTAGAAAGCTGTAATTGGAGATATCATTTGACCCAGCAATCCCATTACTAGGTATATATCCTAGAGAGGTAAGAGCCAGGACAGGAACAGATATATTCACTCATGTTCATCGCAGCATTATTTACAATAGCAGAAAGATGGAAACAACCTACATACCCATCAGCAGAAGAGTGGATGACCAAATTATGCACATAATAGAATGCTATGCAGCACTAAAGAATAATGTAGAGTCTGCAAAACACCGCATAATATGGTTGAACTTGGAGGACAATTATGTTGAGTGACATAAGTCAATCAAAGAAGGACAAATAAATATAGTATTAGTTTGTTGTTGTGGAGGGTCAAGGCAAGGTTTATATAAGGAGGAAAACTTTCTTTGTTGTTGCCAGGAGTGGGGGGAAGGGAGGAGAGGGAACACTGCAAAAAAAAAAAAAAGCATTGACCCATGTCGCTTTAGTTTTGTGTATTTCACTGTACATAAATTGTATTTCAGTAAAATGCATTTTAAAAAAAAAGAAGAAGAAGAAGTTGTTTAGCAAAAAAGAAACTATCTTCCCCTAGTGGACTTGTTCAAACTGGCTCTCAAATAGCATAACAGAGGTAGTTAACAGTACTTTCATTTAAGGATTACATTTGGCTTCACATACTGCCTAAACTAACACATCTGATGTTTTAAGAATGTATGCCCAAGTATCAAGTGTTAAAGGAAGGTTTCTGACTTTCAGAGTAGAAACTCCTGTTATATATAAAATGTAGACAGAAATAATCCAACTGATAGGCAAAATGAGGGTAGTTACTTCAAACAGGGGATTTTAAAAACATAACTTATAACAAAACAAAGAAACTCCAAGGAACCACCACCAAATAATACGCTGGGGGCATTATAAGTAATTCTATTTCTCCTTGAAAATCAAGACTCAGGACAATTACCAACATGAGTCTTCTTAAATTTTCTTTAAGAAATGCATAAATTAGTAACCTACCGTCTGTCTGAGATTTACTGAGGAATATTGTGCTGGCCCGAGGATGGTCTGAAGGATTGAATTCCATGTTCAAATCTTTAAAGAAAGAGAAAGAAAATATATAAGTAACCATCTGATAACCTAGAGGGTGACAAGATTAATTCTGAGATTTTTTAAACTTAAACTGCTAAACATTCAAGAATTCTGAAACCCTACAGAAACCATGTCATAGATTCTTCCAGATTCAGTTGAGAGCACTGCTGTGTAGAAATTTAAAAAAAAAAAAAAAAAAAATCATACTTAAAAATTAGACACGTGGCTGGAGATATGTTAGCCTAAAACTCCATTTTCTTCTGAGAAAGTATGCTCTGGGCCCAGGAAAATAACAAAACACTAGGACACTTACAACATCTAATTAAAAGGAGTGTTATGTGCTACAGATAAGTAAATGGTACTTCCTTGTTAAAGGTGATTAAAATAGGCTATCTCAGATGTTAGACTGAGTCAGCAGTCAAATACCCTGCTTAATTAAGATTGTTATTTTCTGAAAAGGCAAAACTTATTTATCCCTTAGAGCAAAGGCTCCAAATTGGTCATCTGTGGGCCTAATCTAGGCCGTGGATATGCTTTGTTTGATCCGTACATTTTTTTCTTTTTTAAAATTTGTGCCAACGTATAACAATCAAGAGATTTAAAATATATTTTTAAAATAAGTAATTTTTTTTTAAAAAAATTAGGTTTCTTGATCATTAGGTAACACTGGACTCCATCTCCAACAGTCACAATCTGCTGAAGCCAAGGCATTGCTGGCTCCTTGAGATGGGACATATAGTCTTCAGTTTTTTATTCAGACACTCACCATCCTCTCTTCACTTTTTAACTAAGGTATTTGCTAACCAGAAGGCTGGCAGTTCACACCCACCAGCCGCTCTACAGAAGGAAGATGAGGCAATCTACTTCCATAGAGATTTACTGCCTTAGAAACCCAATGGGGGGTTGCTATGAGTCGGAATTGACTAGATGGCAGTAGGTTTTTTTTCTGGTTTTAGTTCCCAAAGGCATTCAGTATTTTAATTCTCGTCTTAGAGCAATCTCCAGGGTTACAGACTTGTTCAGTTCGGTACAAACAACTTAAAGATCCCATTACAGATGAGTTTTCCCAGTTTAAAAAAAAAAAGATTCCAATGGGAAAGAATGGCTAAAAATAGAAAAATTAAGTCAGGGGAAGGAAGACCAAAATTATTAGAAAGTCAGAAAAGTCTTCAAATCAGCTTAATCATCACAATAAAAACTACTTTGGGTTCAATTATTTCAATAAATTTGCAAAGAAACCTAACCAACCCCAATCACAACAGATGGTATCTATCCTTGCTTTAGTTGCTAATCAAGTCAAAGATAAAAGGAAAGAAAAACAATAAAGGTCATACTTCAAGCAACACCAAATCAGTTATCCACACAGATTTGTCCTCAGGAAACCTTTGAAGTTGGGCTATTTTTCCTACATTCATCAATGGCTTCCTGGACTACAGCTACTTGACCTCTCACTTGGTACTTGCTTTAAGAAACCCTATTTAATCTTAAACAAATGTTACTTCAATTATCTGGCCCCTCTTCTATGAGAACTATGTAAATGTACACAGTTTCACAGCTTTAGGCATTAACAGGATGGGAGGAGAAAAGCAGACAAAAGAGACACTTAAATTTCACTTGTTTTTAGTTAGATAAAATTAGGTCAGAAATTTCCTAGTAAAAATCATTCTTTATGAAGTTGTCTGCTTAACTGTTGTTGGTGTTGTTATGTGCCATCAAGTCGAACCTGACTCATAGTGACCCCTCCGTGTTACGTGCCATCGAGTCGAACCTCACTCATAGTGACCCCTCCTTGGGTTTCTGAGGCGGTATCACTACGAAAGTAGATTGCCCAACCTTCTTTCCAAGAAGTGGCTGGTAAGTTTGAACCTCCAGCCTTCTGGTCAGCAGTCAAGTGACTTTTGCTTTTTAACCTCCTTATAGCAAGATCCTAGTGTACTTAACTAGGATCTTGCTATGTTGTTGTTGTTATGTGCCGTCGAGTCAGCCCTGACTCATAGCGACCCCTCCTTGGGTTTCCGAGGCAGTATCACTACGGAAGTAGGATTGCCCAACCTTCCTTCCGAGGAGTGGCTGGTGGGTTTGAACCGCCAGCCTTCTGGTTAGCAGTCAAGTGCCTTAGCCACTATGCTACCAGAGGATCTTGCTATAAGGAAGTTAAAAAGCAAATGTGCTACACTATTTTTTTTTTTTTTTTGAAGACTTCTATATATCAAAAGTATAAGGACAAATATGTAGTCCCAACTCTGATGGATGCTGTTAACTTTCAAAACTTTAACCTATGGTCCCCATAAATGAAACACAATATGCTTTCACTGCCTAAACACCTGGCCAAGAAATCAGTCCTCAAAGGAAGAGACCCTCTGTTTAAATACAGGATGACCACAGGTCCCTACTGTAAAATCTACTTTATTCCCTAACAGGCAATTCTGACTCATCTACAAGACTAGTTTTGAGACCCACTTTTATTCTTAAAATACAGTAGTAGGAGTTTATAGAGCACCACAAGTAAAAAGTGTAAAGCTGAGGAGGCGGGGCAAGATGGCGGACTAGGCAGAAGGATTGCACAGACCCTCTTCAACAAAGAAAAGGGAAACCAATTAACACAGACACA